CGCGTAGACATCCTCTATTGGTTGCTGATATTATTTGTTTTCGGTAAGATTATTACATGCAACCACGATTTTATTTTTTAAATCTGATGGATTTTCTGGTGGATCTGCGTAGACTATTGTTTTAAAATAAAAAAAAAAATCGAGTAGAGTAATATCTGGAGATCTTGCTGGCCATTCAATGGGGCCATAAGCGCCAAACCATTTTCCCTCATACACCCGTTTGTTTGCCCGATTTCGACTTTTGCCCATAACATATATATATATATGTATATTAACGCCTATGATTTGCATCATATTGGTACTAATGATTTATTTTGCATATTTTATAACTGTATAAACACAAAAATTGTGTATTATTATAGGATGTATTGTTGTGTTTAAATTTTAAACGAAACTAGTGTTGGTTAGACGCCTTGTTATGTTACGCACCTAATTTTAAATTTGTGAATTTATCTTTAACGCAAAATATATAAAATGTGTTAAAAATGATACAAATTTAATTAAAAATAAAATGTATAAAAATGATAAACCTATTTAAGACAAAAGCTATACAGGTGATGGTAAAATAGTGGTATAAGTAGCCTCAACAAAAACTTGTACCACTTTAACACCACTGTTTTAACTCTAGGTTAGGGTTTTTATCATACACACACACCTCCATATTATATTACTGGACAACCTAAATGTTTATATACAATAGGTATTATCAAGACTAAACTGTTTACAATATTATTTTCAATCTATAACAAGTGGAATGCTAAAAACCAAATGTCAAAAGCGTTCAAATGATTTCGGTTTTATGGTAACGCAGAACAAAAATTTCAAAAAATCGTTTACTKAATGTCTCTCTTGCCAGTTATTCATTAAAAAWTATTGAAAGTTTGCTTTTTGTAAAGTTAAAAGAAATTAACATTTAAAAAGATGGAAAAATCGGAAAACTACAAAAATACAAATGAATGCTTCAATAAATTCGGGTCACTACTCGATTATGTTTTATTTTAAACGGTAAGGTAATACGAATACGGTAGTAGTGTAAACAAAATATTCTATTACAATCATAAATAATTTTGAAGTAGGTATTAAACAATCGCGCAACAAACCGGGTTAGTACAAAAAACAGTGACCATAATAATATAATAYACAATTATAATACTTAAGTAATAACAATGTGACAACTATATATATATATATATCAGCGTGCAAATATAATAATAATAAACTTGCTTAAATTAAATGTGCATTGTGGCTTATTATATGACACTATGACGTATCGAACAAACATCGGGATGTTGATTGTTTTTCTCTCAAACATTTCAACATAAACAATATAATATAGTAAACTCGCCAGTAGTCCGTGCGAATCAGCACGACTTGTCCATTACAAATATTACAATATTCATACTTTAGTCTCGGCCTTGGAGCCAAAAAAAAATTAAATAAACGCAAACAGCGTTCTTTTATATACCTATACCATATATACTGTATATAATAATATACACATAAACCAATCTCAGAGTTTAAACTTGGATATAATGTCAATACGTTAGATAAACTTATTGATGGTCCGTTCGTGTTGAAAATCGATTATATTTTAATGAAATAATTATTTACCTATTAGCTTTGTGGTTTTAAATGACAATAATAGAGCCATCTGAGCCACATATTGCATGTTAGAGAACCGCAGGTATCAWACCCTTGGTTTATACGTTAGAAGATTTCATAAAAAATTAACATATTTTTTTCCAAAATGTAATTTTATGCTAAATCACATTTAAAAATATAATGTGTTTAATAAAGTTACAATTAAATTCACTAAAATAAAACATGAACACATATAAACTGATGGAAGTTGAGGGCATAAATAAATTTCAAATGCATAAGTGATTCAAAGTCATGAATATAGATTATAGRTTATTAGGTTATAACCTAACCTATAATCGCAATTGTAACTTATTGTTGGGAAGTTATGTTTTCAGAGGGGTGTACATTTTTTTGGTGAAAAGTCATAATCCGCAAGTGATTGAGAAAGTTAGAAAATATATTTGTTAGTATCTATATGGAATAATAATATATTATATTATATTCTTGTTCGTACATCGCTACCAAATCGTACAAATTGCATTAATTCATAATATGACGAAGTTAATAATATCATATTATTATAAACGAAATTGATTATTATATATGTTATACGACAAAATGTTATTATTAAGAACTATATATGTTTTAGGCACTTGAAAAAAAGTTTGAAGAAATAAGTTCAAAATAGTTTTGTCCTTCGTATTGTGCCCACCCACTACACCCACCGTTAAGTCTTGAAACTACGCTATCGCGGGATGCCACCGGTGTGTCGCAGTTAGTGTATAGCCGTCTTTGAGGCTGCTAGGATTGCACCGGTGGGTTTGCCTTTTGACTTTTTGAGAATCGCGCGGGGTGTCAGTTGAACCGTTTTGAGCAGGCTGGCGATGAAATCCGAAAAGGGCCGATGGTCGTCGGGCCGCAACCCTGGACCGGAACTCGGAACTGCTGCTGCACAGACAGCCGCGTCAATCTTCTGTTGTTGGATGGAGTATTCCATTCGGCGGTGGCTACTATCGCCACTCGTACGACCTGCACCATCTCCCGAACTTGCGCTGTTACCACTGCTCGTACCGCCTCCCGAACTCACATCATTACCATCGTCCACGTAGTCGGCCGTCTGCACGTTTCCGTCGTCGTTGTCGTTGGGYGGCTTGACCCACTCGCCGTCGTGACCGATAACCTCCAACGGATAGTCGGGCATGAAGCCGTCGTTGTACCGGTGTCGGCTCACCAACCGTCCAGGACCAGCTTCCACRCGRGGGTTGAACATCTGGAAAAACGACTTGAGCACCATGTCCAGACAACAGTCGCACCGGCGCTGCAACGTCGTCCGAGAAGTGAAAAAAAAATTTGAATCAACCCGTTAAGCTTACCAACCGTTTTTTAAGTTATGTATTTTTCAAGAGATATTAATGTTTAAACACTCGATCCAATTATGTTCTATAGGTACCTTTAATCAAATGTATTGATTATTTTCACATTTATAAAATATTACCTAATATGTGTGCTGAGATGATGAATATTTAAAATTTTTTGCAAAATATATGTTTATATTGAGAGCAATTAATCAAATATGTATAATATATTTTATTATGTTTCAGAGCCGGATCAAAACAAAAAAATACTCTGGTCATAAACCGCGGTGGTTATTTCCTAATATTGTTTAAAAACAAATTGCACCAATCTTATTTTATCGTTAGATTATAAATACGTAGTAGGCAAGTGTATGTAGTAATTGTAAAGTCAATTAGTTTGAATGAAGAATTGATGAATATTATGTTATTATATTCTAGTATACATACAGAACAGTGTTTAATATGATCATACTATGTTTTGTAAAAGTTTTGCTAGTTTACAATATTTTTTCAAGCAAAAGTTTAAATATTTTAAGTAAAGCAAAAGTTTAAATATTTTAAGTATTTTACAAAACTATGTAGACACAACATTTTAAATTTTATCTTTTGTGAACCTTCTACTTTTCATTATATTTCACCATAACAAACGCCTAATATTTAAATTTTAAGCTTAACAATATATTGATAACTATAGTGTATTTTAATCTTATATTTGACTAATTAAGAAGTGACTGTGATGAATGATTAAGAAATGACTAAGTATAAAATGACTTGCCACTAAAATGTATTATATAATATAACATGACGTATATTTTATACTGAATGGDTTTACACTGTTTACAGCTAGCCTGCGCGTGTCTRGTACATTGGCACAGGAAGTGAACTTTGAAACAATGAAACGTCTTGAAGTTATTACTCATATTAATTCTTATCATTGAAYAATAGTTGGAAACCGGTCGAGAATCGTAACGATCGTACTATGTCGGTTCCATTTTAAACGAGTTTTAATAATTTAAATTTAAMCCAGCATTAATAAGTTAATTGCAGACTACAGTACCTACTTAATAATAATATAAAGTATATAACTAGAGAGAATTGATTAGCACTAAACCACTAGATCCTTCATTTTGAATATTATAATATTGGGAGTGTAAGTACAATGAAAATAACTAATAACCACAATATAAGTGTCACATTTTCGTCTTTCATTATATATCTAGTACTTTTTATATGTAAAAACTAAAAACTGTTATGTATACAGACATCAGCTCGACAGTTCACCACATTTGAATATTATATTATACTGAAATAGGGCAACGGGCAACAGTTATTTGATATATATTATGATATTATATACTTATGTGTAGATATACGCTAGCTAGGTATCATACTTCATACCTTGCTTATGTTTATACAGCGTATAAACATTTAGCTCAACRAGTGTATTGTAGAAAATACATAGTTTTTTCGCAGTCTTGTCATCATAAAATTAAGTAAAAAACCATGTATATTCTAATTCTAAGCAATACTACACATAATAATTATAGGTACCTTTTTTTTTCATTGAATTGGTTGGAAACTTATGGGTGTGCAAATATGATTCTTCATAATTAAGACCCGGATGTTTATGCCCTAAAAACCCTATGGTAATTTCCTAAAAAATATGTATTTATGAGACATAAATCCCTCAAGAAATTACCCATTATTACTTGCTAAATGTTAATACATTAAATAGCTACTTAAAAATCACTCATAAAATTAAAATTATTTAATGATTTCATAGTAAAAAAATTACTGTTTAAAACGTAAAATTGTGCTTTTTCGTTTTTTGAAAAATATAWTAATATTTTAATGTCATTATGGCAAATAATTAAATCGTCATTGTTCTCTTAACTGTTAAAACTTAGTAAGTAAAAAATACCATAAAAAGTGACCAAATTTCAAAATCGAGAAATTGGTTTTAATTTTAAGTTAGGAATGTAT